GTCAGTGGCCAGTTTTTGTTCTTAAGCCAAGTTTCTTGTAAATATTATCTCTGGCCAGTTATGAAAATTTGTTGATGTGAATATTTGGTGTCTGCCGACCCCACATAGTGGGAAAAGGCTTTGTTGTTGTTGAATATTTGGCGTCTAGTGTATTGTTCATGTGGACGCACTCAGCTCTAACTAGAGAATAATGCCTGACTGAGATGGACCATAAAGAGAATGTTATTTTATCTGATTTTTGGATATGTTTGTACAATTAATAACTATGAATCTAATGAACTGTGTAGGGCTGTACGAGCGATGAATGAAACATTGAAGCAGAATCGACTTTTGAGAGAGCAGGGTGAGGATGACAGATCTGGTCTTCAGAAAAATGTATGTTTCTTCATTGCAGTAACTGAAGCACATCTACATGAAATAAAAATTTGTCAATGCTCTGAGTATGCTATTATGATAAGCCCATGGTGAAAATATGTTTTTTTGTTTGGAAATCAATGGTTATGCTTGTGTTCTGAAGGGAGGATAGTCAACTTGGTAACTGCACTGTTTGTTTTTTAGATTTTGTGAGTTTTCCTAGTTTCATTATTTTGGGGCTTTGAGTCTGATCACCTGGCTGGTGGATGCATATATGCTTGTTGTTTTGGTGTGGCATCTTTACTAGTAGTTTAAACTCAGGATATACAGTAATTCTTAAGCCTGCAATTTGGAATTGTATAAATCTAAATCTTTATGTATGTTTCTGTGTGTTTATATATACGTATTAAGATGAAGTCTTGTTTCCCAGTCGTCAGATGCATGAAATTTTGAACTGACTTTGTTCTTACATCTAACAAATTCTCTTGCAATGTCTTGCATTGTGGTCTCCTCTACCCATTTATAACCTCCTCGTCAACTATTCACATTGCTTCTACATCCAGTGCACAACTACTCCTGGATCTTCATTCCATAATGTAGTTAATAACCCCTTTTCTGATTAGTGCTCTAGTCTTGCTGCCCACCCTACTTTGAATCTACCTGTTCACTTATGAAGTAATGTAATGACTAATGGCATAACGTAAAGCCTAAAGGTAATAATAGTAACACAGTCCTATTCAATCTTAAGAGGGAACATGATTTTTAATATACAACTGGTAACCTACTTTTCTTGACTACTCTCTTAGGTGAATGAGAGATGCATACGATAGGCAACACAAGTTAATTAAATTCAAGTTGTCATAGGAAATTTAAATGTTGACTAAAATTTTTATTTTCATGGATCTTGTTTCACTTGTGTACCTTGTATTGGATAGATGTGGATGATTTCCAAGCATCAAATACTAACAACTTAAACGCTCGTATTTTTATTTATTTTTTATTTTAATTAGGGAACTGTTGTTGGCACTCCAAAAATGTCATTGTGCAATCCTCATGAGTACTTTTTTTTTTTGGCTAAATATAAAAGTTTGGAGTGCACAATGAGATATTTGGAGTGCCCCTTTAATTTATCATTATACTCTCTAAGATTGTAAAAGAACGTTTTTTTTTTTTTTTTTCAACAGTTTATTATGAAGCAATTAATGTCAGCTTCTGAGCTTTAATTTTTTTGTTACCTCGTGTTTCAAATTTTCCTTTAGATGATTGTGGTGAATTTTCTGATTGAGATTGCTATACGTTTGCTTCCCCAGGATCAAATCAGTTCTCAAAAAGCAATGTCATTACCTTCATCTCCTCATCAGTACAGAAGTCAAACGTCTGATAGAATTGGACCTTCAGAGTTCACGACATATGATGAATTGGTCCTAACATGGAACAGAATTCTGGAGTCCGCCACATTTGATAATAAGCCTCTATTGCCTTACCAGGAATGGAATATTGATTTCTCAGAATTGACTGTTGGAACTCGTGTTGGAATAGGTAAGAATCACTTGTTTAACATACAATACTTCACTATGATGTTGGCTTGATAAGTGAGAACCCATCTGTTTCGTGAGGTAAAAGAACTGAGTTTGTTGTGAAAAGAAAGGAGTGTTTGTCATTAATGTTGTTTCTACTTTGTTTTTGTTTTGTTTTCTGTTTTTTCCTCTCTTTTTCAATTTTGAAGAATTCCTTATTTTATTACACAAATCATCACATCGTTAGATAAATAAAGATATAATAGTGGGATGAAATACCCATCTGCCTCAATTTTTTCCTAAATGTAGAGAATTAGGAAAATAAGTTGGGAGAATAGAAGAAAGGTCGGGAAAAATATAATTGGATTTGGTCCTTAAGTAGCAAAGTATGCTCTCCTTTAACCTTGTAACTCCCTAAGAAAGCTTCTGAATTTCAGGCTGCTTTTTTACATGCCCGACATCTCCTTGCAATTTGTAAGGTTTTGTGAACAACCCGCACCAAAAAAATAATAATGATGTTAATATAAGATGAAGCTCAACTTTCCTTGGAAAAGCATCTAAATTTTCATCCGGAAAAATTAAAAATACAGTTTTAGTTGATTGAATTTTTTTTTTTGATTGCTTCTGCATTTAGGGTTCTTTGGAGAAGTCTTTCGAGGCGTTTGGAATGGAACAGATGTCGCAGTAAAGGTTTTCTTAGAGCAAGACCTAACTGCTGAAAACATGGAAGACTTCTGCAATGAGATATCCATTCTTAGGTATTTCTCAAAGATACCTTGATCATTGTACTGTTTTTTTATTTTGTGCTGCAGGTTTTTATTTTATTATCCATATAGTTTTCTAATGTGCTCTATGTTTTTCCCCCTTTTTGCACGTGGGTATCCAGTCGCCTTCGGCATCCTAATGGTACTTTCTGTTCTGATTATACCTTCCATTTTTCATTTGTCAGTGGTTGTTTGTATACGGTGGAGATATAGTAGATAGTAGATAAATACTGATGTATATTTTCCTTATTTTATACTGCTCTGGAATTGAATGTGATGTTTTCTGCAGTTATTCTATTTCTGGGTGCATGCACAAAGCCTCCACGCTTATCAATGGTTACAGAATACATGGAGATGGGATCTTTGTATTATTTGATTCATTTGAGTGGCCAGAAGAAGAAGCTTAGCTGGCGAAGGAGACTAAAAATGTTGCGTGACATATGCAGGTCTGTTCTTGCTATCCATGATTTATGAAAAAAATTTCACAGCACACATTTATGTTCAAGAACATGTATGCTGTTCCATTATTTCAAGCTCCTAAAATCCATTCATTACACTTTTAGAACATAAATCTGTTGGTACATGCTTTTCGTTATACTTATCTGAATCCTAAAGGGAACTGACGTGTATACACTATCTATGGCTTTTGGTTCGTAAATTCAGACTTACTAGCTCTGAAATCGACTTATCTGAATTCTAAAGAGAACTGCCAAAAGATAAACAACTGTAGCTCTGAAATCGACAGTTTCTTAGTCATGCCTATGGAAATGTTATCAATCTGATTAAGGCGGTTAGGTCCTATATGTTGACGAATGCTTGAAATGTTTCTGTACTTTCTTTTGGTTTTAGTCTCTAAACGTTCAACACAGAAATACAAAACCAATTTGAGCTTACGTCATCTCAGTTTGCATGACTTCTTAGCAGTTGTGTAGGATAGAAGATTCCGTACGCTAGGTACCATTCAATGTTTTGATAGGATGAACTCGGGAATTCAGCATTTCATGAGATTTCCGGATGATGTAGCTAAATCTGCATATAGGATCTTATCATTGTCCAAATCCCGCAGGGCTGCTTGTACATTCAAGTTAAAGAATTTTGATAAATTTGCCAGTTTTATATTATAGTATAGATAAGTAGTGACTGGAATCTTCTGTTTGCTACTAAAGGGGGTTGATGTGCATGCACCGGATGAAGATAGTTCATCGTGATCTAAAAAGTGCAAATTGTCTCGTGAATAAGCACTGGACTGTCAAGATCTGCGACTTTGGACTCTCGAGAATAATGTCCGAGACAAACATGAAGGATTCGTCATCTGCTGGAACTCCGGAATGGATGGCACCTGAGCTTATACGAAATGAACCCTTCACCGAAAAATGTGATATTTTCAGCCTTGGGGTGTTAATGTGGGAGCTCTGCACTCTAAATAGACCGTGGGAAGGCGTTCCACCAGAGAGGGTCAGTAAGATATATATGACTTAATTAGTTTCGCTCTTGTTCTGACCTATAGCTAGGACAATCCAACCACCTGGTATTTTGAGAAAGCTAGAAGTTTTTTGAGTTAAAAATTTGGCTTTCTTCTACTCAGGTAGTTTACGCCGTCGCGAATGAAGGTTCCCGGTTGGAGATCCCTGAAGGTCCGCTAGGCAGGCTTATTGCAGGTGATCTATTGCTTAACCATAACAAAAATGTGGAGCTTTATACATTTTCCGTGAATAGTCAGGCTTCCGAGCTGACAGTTTTGCAACGTTTGTACAGATTGTTGGACGGAACCGCAGGATCGACCGAGCTGCGAGGAGATACTCTCCCGCCTGTTAGACTGCGAGTACTCACTCTGCTGACACAATGTTTTGTGTGTATAGAAAACATGGTAGAGGTGTTACTTTGTATTCTCGGCTTAAGGTGTATCCTCAACCTCTTCCTCTTGTCAATTTCTCATCTTTTGTATTCTCATAAATTTGATTTCCCTTTTTTTTTTTTCTTTTTTTTTTTTTTTGGCTTTTAATTTTGCATCCTCCGATGTTCCGCTGCAACGCTTTTTGTGCAATCAAAAAAAGAAAAAAAAAAATAAAAAAGAATTAGCTTGTTTACGAGCTTTGGTTGGACCTTCGATTTGCGAAAATGCTTTCGACAACTATTTATAGGAACGAGATTTGTATTATTTTTTTAAATAGAGATTAGTTGTGGGGTTACATCACATCAGCTTTAACTGTTCGATTTGTTTATTTTTCAAGTTGGACTTTATAGGTCATTCTTATCTACAAGAAACAATAAAATTTAAATTAAATGGGTAAAAATGGTCTCGTATTAAATCGATTTGTCTATTTTTCGAGTTGGATTTCATAGATCATTCTTGTCAACAGACAAATTAGAGAATGACAAGTGTTATTTATGTTAGTAAAGAGTTTGGCCTTGGCAGAACGATGACAAGATATTAATTGATGGAAAATTAAAAACGTTAAAAGGGAGGCATGAACAAGATGTTGGGAACTCGTACATTGCTCCTCTCCGATTTCATAAACTACATATCATTAGTTTGATTTGTTCAATCAGGGATTGGGCGCAGGTTGAGTGCATCTTCGAATCGACAACACGAATCCACTCTCATCTCCGTACTCATTTCATTTTCGGGTGCCGGATAGTAGTCCTCCCTCAGCTGCACATCCCTCAGGCTCGGGTTTCTCACGAGGAACATCATGAAATGCTCATGAGCTGTGCCGTGGATGAAAAGCTTCCGCAATGTCACGCATTCCGACAGCAGCCCCGCAGCCGGAAGCCAGAGACTCCTTTGGTTTACGTCCCGGTCTTGCGGAGGCCAGTAATCGAGTTCCGTTAGGCACAAGCTTTCAATCCCAGTCAGGAAGAACCTCTCCCAGAGGCTAAGGTCCATCTGTCCTGGCGGGGCTGTCAGTGCATAACCCACCGTGTCACCACAATCCAACTTCATCTTGGACAGGCAAGGATAGCCTGCGAGGCAGCTCAACCCGAAATCTTGCTGCGTGGGTCTGTGCCTTCCCCAGCAATCCCCTTCAACCCGAATCTGAATCTCCTCAAGATTGGGGCAATCATCGAGACCCACCGACGGCAACGGAGTCAGCAGCTCACCGACCCCAACCCAAAGCGAAAGATAATGCAGCCTCTCCCAGCTCTCACCGTACCAAAACCCATTTCCGTTTCCATTGCCATTGCCATTGCTTGGTGGCATATAGGAACACTCCCCATCCATCCCCAACTTACATTTCCTACTTCTGTTTTCGTACTCGGCTGCCCAATTCAAGTCCATGTAATCGCCACCATCATCACCATTCCGATTCACCGCAATGCCGTCACCAACATAATCATCGACATTTACTTGATCCAGATCAAAGCCATGAGCATCCTCCGGTTCCCACACGCAATCAATGTGCAGGCGCTGAATCCGATCACGAATGGGCTCCAGAGCCCGCAACGAGGCCGCGGCATCCAAATTCTTGCAACAAGAGATACTGACATCAACCAAAGTCTTCCTCAACAAACAGGCCATCGTCCTCAACCCTTTAACCGTTATTCTCTTACATCCATGGACCTCAAACTTGGCCAATTTACAACACCCTCTCGCAATCTCAATCAACCCCATGTCCGTCAAATCGGCACAGTTCTTAATCGACAGCGACTCCAGCCCGGCACATAAGGCAATGCCGTCGAGCTCGGACCCAATCGCCGAGCAAATCCCATGGAACTGGCCCAGCTTGAGCGCCCTCAGCCTGGGGCATTTGGACCCGAGCACCTCCAGCGCCAACCCACTGTCTCTCACGTTCTTACAAACATCCAGCACCAACTCTTCCAGCAGCGGAAGCCCCGAGAAGAAGTCGATTAGCGCCGCGCGCCCGACCCGTGCGTCTTCGGCGGTGAAACCGTCGTCATCTGGCTCGCCGTGGGCGTTGGCCAGCGACGTCGTATCGATCAAATGAATGACTCTGAGCTCCGGACAGTTCGTGGAGATCGATAAGAGCGCCTCCTCGCCGACGAAGCCTACGTATCTCGGATCGAACATACACGCCACCAGGAGATGTTGCAGTTTCGGACACGCCGCCGTGATGGATTTGATCTCGTTGGCCTTGAACCCCTCGGTAAACGACGTCGTCAAGAGATTGAGCTTGGTGAGAGATCGAGCCACCTTGGGATAGGATTCCAGAACCGGCGGGAGGTCCTCCGTCCAGTAGTAGAACTCTGACAAGTCGAGCTCTGAGAGCGACTGACAGGCCAAGAACAGAGGATCGAAGTCGGCGCCGAGGGGTAATTGGGGCCGTTGATGCCAGCGGACGAGCTTGACGCGGCGCAACCCCGGCCACAAATGGGAGACGATCTGGACGATACAGGGCGATCGGGAGTAGACTGTGAGTGAGGTGACGGATGGGAAGGCGTCACGGAGGCGTTGGGCAAGGAGAAGAGGGTTTGTGTTGGCGGCGGAGGGGGAGAGCAGAGTGTGGCCCCATGGGGATAAGTGTGAGAGGTCGAGCTGGGCGACTGCCGTGAAGCAAATCGGGATCCTGTGGAGGTCACGGGCGTTGCCCCGGAGCGTGAGGGATGTGCGCGTGGCCCTCTCCATGCTCAGGAACTTTTTGCACACAAGGGAGAGCGAGTTCCTGGTCCGGGTGTCGGAAACTAAGGTGATGACGGTGGAGAGTATGGGCTCCGGCAGGTCATTGATGGTGGGGGCCATGGTGCGAGGGAGGGAGGGAATGAGTGAGAGAGAGTGAGATTGAGAGAGGAGGATGGGAGGGAGGGAGGAGTTATGGCAGCTGAGGGCGGGGTTTTGTCTTTTAGCGTTAGACCCACGTGAGGACGATATATCTTTACTTACCCCACTTCTCTATGTCTTGGTTTTCGTATTTGTGTTATATTTAATATCTTACTGAGTTATGTTGTGTATTATCCGTTAAAATAAATAAGGATTACAACGTTACGTAAAAATGTTCTGTGATATGATTCTAGCAGTTACCTGTTATAAAGAAGTATATTTTAAACCAATAAATAATCAAATGAAAATCATAATACTAAAAAAGAAATTGTTATTAGTATTCCAAAAATCTCATTCTACACTCCAAACTTTTTATATTAGGAAAGAAAAATACACTTGTGAGGAGCGTATAATGAGATTTTTAGAATGCAAATAACACTGTCCAAATTAATATATACAATCACATTGTCACATTCAAAACATAAATACATCTGTTTCAAGTGTTACATACCAAAAAATAAGAGTATAAAGAGATTTTTAGAATGCAAATAACACTGTTCAAATTAATATATACAATCACATTGTCACATTCAAAACATAAATACATCTGTGTTTCAAGTGTTACATACCAAAAAATAAGAGTATAATGAAAACTACATTAACACATTACAAATTGTCAAATGTTCAAAGGATTTGCAACATGAAAGGAGCTCTATTTCAAGGTTGTGAAACTTTGCACATTTTCTTACAATAAAACCTACAATTTTCATCAATTGCCATGGGAAACGATATTGGAATTTTAACTTGATATATTTTCTTCAAGCATAATATTGATAATGTTTTTAGTAAGACTTTCCACATTAGTACTCTTCCACATAAACTAAAAACCAAACATTATAAACCGTTTAAATTATGAAAAGAAATAAAACAATATTACTAAGTTTTTTTTAGTAATTAAACTTTAAAATTATCAAAATAAATTTTCTTAAACAGGTCGAAATGAGTTACCCATATGTATACCCGTTATTAACTGATTCGTAATGAGTCATCGGATAACGATCCTATTAATTATCGTGTTGAACCGAAAATCGTTATTTTCGTGATGTTTTTGTATCGTGTCACCGTGTAGAGAGTAATACACGCGCAGTGGAAGGGGCGTGGATAAGGAAGGAAGGAAGGAAGGAATGTGGGTCTGTGGTTGTTTAGGATATGGAAGGATGGATTATGGATTATGGATTATGGATACGGAACCGAACAAGTGTGATTGTGTAGTCTGCTTTGCTGCCATCTGTTTCCGATTTTCTACAAAAATCTTCACTATTTTTGCCATGACAACGACACGACAGCAGCCACTACGATAGGATACTACAACTCTACACTCGTCTTTAACCTTTTGCCCTTTCAAGATAAAATAAATTGTTCCACAAAAAATTATGGTTGGCACGATTTGGATTACGGAATGATTTGATTTTAGCGATTTGGATTTCGGATTGATTTGGTTTTATCTTAAATAAAACTAAAAAAATATAATATCTTGATTCGGTTTAATGCGGTTTAAATTGAATTGTTTGGTTGGAACCGTTAAGGGCTGAACCCTTTTTTATCATTTTCATTTTTTTCTCGAAAAACTCTATTTGGGTCTCAATTTTTTCCTACCATCTAAGTTCATTAACAAATTAGATAAGAGCTCGTTTTGGAATGCTTTTAAAATAATTAAAAGCGTTTTTAGAGAAAATATTTTTTTATTCTAAAAGCATTTGAAGTGTTTTATATAAGAAATATCAATCATGTGCTTCTTTTAAGAAGTATAATTTACTTGTATTATTATTAAGGAATGGTTTTGAAAATATTTTCATCGAAACTGCTTTTATCTATTTTAAAAGCACTTCCAAACAAACTCTAAATTGGTTGAATTTGTTGATGTGCCACAAATAAGGCCTCTTTGATTAAAAGAAGAAAAAGAAAATGGTTTTTGATGATGCTTTTAGCACTATATGATAGGATTATGGGAGCACTTCCTGCACGGGTGACTTACTCACCCCCATTTTTGGTTAATCCATTTGTTCTACTGGTTCGTCCTCTTGGTGGTCGTGATGGCCTTGCAATGGATGTGCATCTGCTGGCTGCTGGTTCCATTACAGTCTCAAGGTTTTTTGGTTGTTGTTCAACTGGCCACTTTTGGGCCTATCTTCAGTATTTCTTTTTTTGTTGGTGAGCTTGTATTTAGGTAGTGAGCTGCCTTTTTGGAATGCATTTTTCCTTGTACTCGCCATTTTTTAATGGAAATAAATTAGTTTGACCAAAAAAAAATGAGGAAACATTTTTTTATGATAAAAGTTTGTTTACAGTAATAACCCCAAAAATTGATTACTGCTTTTCCTTTCTTCTTCTTCTTTGTTGTTTTTTCCGTTCATTTCTTCTTACTCAATTCTTAAGTCTTTAGTGCTTCTGACATAAAGCTCAATGTGCGGCGGCGTTTTTTCCAACCTTAAATCGATGTGCAAATTTCTCCCTTTTATTAATGTGACGTTCATTCTCAACAATATCGTTGACCGCGCTTTGAATCTCCCTAAGTACAAAGAGAATGAAAGAAGGAGGAAATGGAGGAACAAAAGAAAGAGAACGAGAGGAGGGAAAAATATGAAAGAGGAAAAAGATGGAGGGAGTTGTAGCAGAGGTGAGAGAGAGAGGAAGAGGGTGTATCTAGTTTTTTTTTTTTTTTTTTTTTTTTTTTAATTAATGTTTTGGTTAATCACTTTTCAATTAATGTTTTATATTTCGTATTTGTTTTTGTTTAAATCTTTACCTTTTTATTAAATTTTTGTGTCGCATCAACAAATTTGATGCATTTGTTTATTGGAAATGAACCTTAATTGTTTTGAATGAGCGAAGAAACCGAAAAAGAGAGATTCAAATTTTTGGTTTTCTCATAATTGATAAGAGAGTACCACCAGATTATTGTAGAGCAATCAAATATTCAAGTGGTACTTCTCTTATCCAGATAATATAAATATTGCCATGTGCAAGGTTCAAGGGAATTCAACCTTCAACTTCATTTTGATGGATCCTATGTTTTTTTCTATTCGAGAGTCAAACGATGCTCGTGTGTACATTTTGGTGTGAAAAGATTACTCAAATGATATTCACGTGTATATTTTAGCATCGTTTGAGTCTTTCAAGCTCAACGCAATAGCCTATGTAGAATAATTGAGGCTATTGCGCTTCATCAAGCTTTTTGGATGGCTAAGATAAGGAACTACCAAAAGTTGAGCATTGAGGGTAGACTGAAAACTTTTATTGATGGGGTTTTTGGACAGTGTACAATACCTTGGTTGCTCAAGATTATCGTACAAGACATTAAATTATGTGTAGTGCTATCCACACACTCATTTTTACTTCTTACACATCTCTCTCAATTTTTTACCGTAGAATTCAGCCCACGAGCATATAGGTGCAAACAATGCGCAATTTTGAGTTTGAACAAACAAGTTATAGACATTTTAAATTGAAAGGAAATTTCAGTATATTGAAAACTTCCATAAATAAAAGGAGAATTTAATAAATGTTTAGACTTTCTAGCAAAGGAAAATCTCTTAATTAATACTGAAATTAATATTTGCCTTTAAATTAAAATATTCAAACCAATAGGATTTTAATATAGATATTGGTTAACAAGAAATTGGAATCAAAGTTTCCATAAATTTGTGTCTGTTGTTTCATATATTGGACCTCACTACTTAGCTCATGATGTATGTAAGAGGGGAAGGTAACCCTCAATTTACTGAAACCATATAAATACCACTGTGGACGTAGCCTTAATTAGAGGTGAACCACGATACATCTTTGTGTTATTGTGTGTTTGTGTGATTTATGGTCGAATTTAAGTTTGTCCAAGATCGATCCGATTTTATGCTTCAACATTTGACGCTGTTTGTGAGAATCGACACAAAAAAGCTATGTTAGTTCTCTCCCATTTTTCATCTCACCACCGTGAACCCTCATCCCTTGAAGGGTAAAGCATGTGTTACTCATCCCTTTCAATCTTCTCTAAGATGATATGGTAATAATTGAGGCTATTGTGCTTCATCGAGCTTTTTGGATGGCTAAGATAAGGAACTACCAAAAGTTGAGCATTGAGGGTAGACTGAAAACTATTATTGATGGGGCTTTTGGACAGTGTACAATACCTTGGTTGCTCAAGATTATCGTACAAGACATTAAATTATGTGTAGTGCTATCCACATACTCATTTTTACTTCTTATACATCTCTCTCAATTTTTTGCCGTAGAATTCAGCCCACGAGCATATAGGTGCAAACAATGTGCAATTTCGAGTTTGAACAAACAAGTTATAGACATTTTAAATTGAAAGGAAATTTCAGTATATTGAAAACTTCCATAAATAAAAGGAGAATTTAATAAATGTTTGGACTTCCTAGCAAAGGAAAATCTCTTAATTAATACTGAAATTAATATTTGCCCTTAAATTAAAATATTCAAACCAATAGGATTTTAATATAGATATTGGTTAACAAGAAATTGGAATCAAAGTTTCCATAAATTTGTGTCTGTTGTTTCATATATTGGACCTCACTACTTAGCTCATGATGCATGTAAGAGGGGAAGGTAACCCTCAATTTACTGAAACCATATAAATACCACTGTGGACGTAACCTTAATTAAAGATGAACCATGATACATCTTTGTGTTATTGTGTGTTTGTGTGATTTATGGTCGAATTTAAGTTTGTCCAAGATCGATCTGATTTTACGTATCAACATTTGGCGCCGTTTATGAGAATCGACACGAAAAAGCTATGTTAGTTCTCTCCCATTTTTCATCTCACCACCGTGAACCCTCATTCCTTGAAGGGTAAAACATGTGTTACTCATGCCTTTCAATCTTCTCTAAGATGATATGGTAATAAGAGAAAATTTTCTTTCATATCTAATCGGCTCAAAATAAAAATTATTCGTCTCTACATTTATATGAAGTTTAATGGTCTTTGATTCTCTTTGTTTGATTCTAAAATTCATGTGTATTCATTATATATTTTTAAGGTATTGAGCCCTTACATGACGGGGTTGGTTCAAATTCCGTCGATGGCTAATCTAACATTTATTCTAACAAATTCTATCATTTGACAATATATATATATATATATATATATATATTAAGGAATTAATAAAAGTCACCATGTATTAACTAAACACTTTTTATGACATTTCAAAAGTCAATGAAAGACTTGTAGTATTCAGGTATGACGTTTTGCAAGCCTACAAAAATCTAAGTGTATTAAAAATATTTATTGATTTGAAGGATTTTCAAAAGTTAAGGACTTTGAGTGCTTTTACAGTAAGGTTTTTGTCATATCAAATCTGTTGGAACCAATTTTGCGCACATATGTGGATGGCGATGATAACTGATCAAAACTTCATATGAACACAAATGAGAAGTGAATGAGGTTGATTGGAGGGTGTAACTGAATTCGTAATGGACTACCAACATATCTCCAAGAAGGATAATCAAATCATAGATGTAGCTCTAGAGAAGGAGTGGTGTGAAGTGGGCTACGTTGAGAACCATCCTAAACTAGTAAGTTTATGATGAGGCGTGTAGGAGAGATGAATCTCTATGAAATATGTCTAATATGTAGATGGCGGCGTTTAGAAGATATGGGCGATGTCTCGTAGAGCGTAAGTATGTTGATGTATCAGATGATTAAAGAGATCCCTTGGTAGATGCTCAAGCTAGGGCATTTGTATTAAAGAAAGTAATCCTTAATGATTGACAGAGTATCTGGGAAGGAATCTAGGATAAATGATTAAGGGCTGGTTTGGTATTGCTGTGCTTAAAAAAAAAACTATTTTTGTTGTACTATGAGAATAATCAGCTGTGAAATAAAGCAGCAGAGTGTTTGGTAAACATTTTTGTAAAAGTGCTTTTGAAAAAAAACAAAAATACTATTATAGTATTTGATAAACTTTTATGTAAAACAGATGTGAAAAAAAAGCTGATTTTTCAAAGTTGGGTTTTGCAACTTTGAGTTTTTGGCTTTTTTTCACCCAAAACTGTGAAAAAAAGCTAAAACTGAATGTTTACCAAACATAAAAAAGCTCTCAAATTTTTTTGATAACCACTTTTTTCAAAATCACATCAGTACCAAACTAGGGCTAAGTCCTCCTAATATTATGGCTATGTTGCCTAATCTCTAGATATCATAACTTGATATGAATTAGGGTCTCCTTCTAGGGAGACAAGTAATATCCATATGGGCGTAAGTCTAGATTGACTGACTAAGAATGTCTGACTACGCTTGGTCTTTTGACTAGTCACATTGTCAGAGTAGCCTGACTACTTTGATCTGGCTAGCTTGCTCCGATATGACCAACTTATTTCGATTTTGGCTAAGCTCATGAGAGTATCTTACTTCGATATGACTAAACTTCTTGTTTTGATTCAAATCGTCTGATCGTCTAAGTGCCATGTGTTGTGGGAATTCCAGTCATTTTCACCACCCGAGGTGCCAAATGTTAGGGGCCCAAAAATGTTGGTCCCACAAAATCCAACATCTACCCAAAGATTTTGATGGATTTCATTTTTTCACTTTTGATAATATAATGACTATACTTCCACCACCATGTCACCACCCACTACCTTACTATGACCATCCCTCCACCCCCACAGCCACCTTTACCCCCACACCACGCCGACAACTACCACATTACCATGAAAATCATGACATCACCATCACCCCCAACATCTTCTCACCATTAGCATCACCATACCGTAACCTCTCACGACTAACTTTTTGTTGTTGTCATTGGCACTACCATGACCACCATCGACACCACATTCATCATGACCGACGCCACCTGTACCACCCCATCACTACCGCCCCATGCCTACTCCACCACCCCAACACCACACCGCCACCAATATTTCCACCCTTATTATAATCATTATCGCCACCAAAGACACCACCTTTACTACCACAATATAACCAAAAATCACCTGCGACACTTCCTCCATCTCATACGACCACTTTGTCATAGTCACAATCACTATTTCAAATAATGAAAATATAAAAATAACAATGCTTATAAATTGATCATTAAAAAGTCTACAACAATCCACATAATTGTATTAAAATTCATGATAAATTCTCACAAACTTCATCAAAATCTATATAGAATTCAATCAAAATCCCCATGAATTCTATAGAAGTTAAGTAAACTCACTCAAAATCAATGTATAGCTCTTCAAAAATTCATCAAGCTCTATATAATAAATAGTGAAGTTTATTGGTCTTTAACTATCACATGATGACTTAGTGGTTAATGACGAATTTTAGGCCTGTATTTCACACGGACATCCTAGGTTCGATTCTTGGTGTTGGTGAATCGCATGATGGTGGCCATAGGAAGACTGAGTCTTCTTGGCTTTCGGAATGGTAGACTGTTGTGTTGAAGCCACCACCTGGTCTCCTTTTAATATATATATATATATATATATATATATATATAGTTTATTGGTGTTTCTTGCCTAGGGGTGTGCTATCCACACACCCCATTTTACTTCTCACACACCTTTTCTTAATTTCTGTCTATTGATCTTTCTCAATTCATCTGATCCGACGATCGAAAATTAGCCACCACGTGGTCTCCTTTTTAATATATATATATATATATATATATATATATATATATATGGTTTATTGGTGTTTATTGCCTAGGGGTGTTCTATTCACATATCCCATTTTACTTCTCACACATCTTTTGTTAATTTCTGTCTATTGACCTTTTTCAATTCATCTAATCCGACGGCCGAAGATTGAGAGATGTGTAATAAGTAAAAAAAAGAATGTGTATATCACTTCCCTATTGCCTATTCGTGAAAGTGGGAAATAATTAAGGTAAGCAAAATTGTAACAAAATATTGTTTGTTGGTTTGTATGTTGTTTGGGAGAGAAATTAACGAAAACAAAACGCGTTAAGTGAGTGAGTCAGCAGAAAATGAGATTGACCGAAATAATGGATGGGGATCATCACTACCACCAAATGTAGAAACAGTCCTCGCACCATGTGACGAGATTTCCTCCCTCCCTCTTCTCCCACCCCTCGTACCATTTTAAACCCTATACTCCTCCTCCTCCTCTCTCTCTCTCTCTCTCTCTCTCTCTCTCTCTCTCTCTAAGATTCGCGTTCTTCTCTCTCTAGATTTTCATCCATCTAGATCGCTTTCAGGTACGAATTCTCGAGTGTTTTTTTTTTTTTTTTTTTTTTTTGAATTTTTAGTTCTTTCTCTTAAAATTTGAATTGCATTTCTAACTTCCGCGACTTTTATTGCTTCTCATTCCCTAAATTTAAATGATGAATGTTGATCAAATTACAACTGCATTTGTTACAGATATGAAAAGAAATGTATAATTAAGTAATGTTAGGTTAAGGAATTGTATCTCTCAATCAGTATCTCAGTTTTTTGGTTGAAGAATTTTCACCTAATTTCTCGTTTCTTTGATTGTTCAATGTTTTTATCATCTTGAATCATATTCTTCAGTTAATATTATATATATTTAGGTCGAAATTCAGAAGATTAATTGAGGTGAATGTTAAATAATAAAGTTTGATTATTACTGTCAGCATTTTTGTTGAACTTTTTGAGGAAATTGAGGTGAATGTTAAATGTGTAGTTTTAGTTGATCGAGGTGTCTTACAAAGAACTATGGACCTACTTGGAACTGATATTGAACCCTTAGTGCAATAATCCTCCTTATTACAATAAGAGTTCAAAATGTGGTATGTAAATGTTTAGACGATTGCTGCGTATGAATTTGGGAGATCATAGCATACTTGTTTGTGCCAATGAATTAGTCTACAACCTTTCCGATTCACTGTTGTTTTATATTCTAACTAATTGGATTGTCGCTGTACCTGAGTTTTAACCTTGGTGTATATTTGTTACAGTTGAAATTATATTAAACGAGTATTTTCTCTTGTTTAATTGTGGTTGCAACTTGTGGGCTTATAGTATATTCATTGCGTGTAAACTCATTGGGCGTTGGCTGATGACTTGAAAGTAACTAGTATGCTCTTGCAGTTTGTATTTCAGGGTGGTGTGACGACGTTATTTTTGGGGATGGAGGACGGCAAAGAGCAACGGGTGGATGAGGGGTCTGAAAATTCTTCCCCACAGGAGGTTGTGTTCCATACGTTATTGTTAAGAACCTTATTTACTTCTGTAGAAATGTGTAGGGAAAAATTATTTGAATCAAATTCTTTGTACTGCTATAGAGGATTGACCCAAGTTTTTATTTCTCTCTGTTAGGAGGAAGTTTTAAAGAAAAAGTATGGTGGAATCATTCCAAAAAAACCACCACTAATTTCGAAGGTGATATTTGAATTTGATATTTGTCACGTCTTGTTCGAATTATATGCTAGTTTGTACCGTGTTTCATCTATGAATGCTTATTGATCTCAGGACCATGAACGTGCTTATTTTGATTCTGCTGATTGGGCACTTGGAAAGGTAGTCCTCTTAACACTGAATATTACCCTGTTACAGTATTTGCAACAAATAATTATTTCAAAGTATCAAAATAATTATTATGTTAGTTATTTCATATCATTTGATGCTTTTTGGATAACAGCAAGGGGTTGAGAAGCCAAAGGGACCACTTGAAGCCCTTCGGCCAAAACTACAGGTATTTGCCATTTTCTAAAGTGGTTGTGTCACCTTTTCTTTCTGATGTGGCTGTCTTAAATATTTTCAATTAATACTTTCTGTTAGATGAGAGTTTTTGGCCACGTTGAATGTTGAGAACTCCGCATTTAAAAAAGTTACTTGCTGTGATGTCAACTAGTGGGAAAGGGCTTTGTTGTTGTTGTTGTCATTGTTTGTGATGTCAACTAGTTGAGTTCTGTTTGCTGATTATGGTGCTAAAAAGCAGTTGAAATTACTTGAGTATATTATTGGTAGTTTGGTTGAAAGACAATGTTGCTCCGAAGTCTTGACCAGGCCACAATATCAGGCTTTTAGATGAGATGGCAAACTTGTACGGGTTCACGGCAAGACAATGATGTTCAAAAAATTCATGACATATTGTTTGAAATGTGATGTAACAGAAGAATTTCTTTCTCTTTGAGAAGTATTGGATATAAATAGCACATATGCCAAGTATTTGCATCTTAAGTATAATCTTGCCGGAGTAAAGGATGCTAAAGTTGGAACGAATCCTTAATGGATAAATAGGAAAAAAAAAAAAAAAATCAAGTAGCTAAACAGGAAAAATTTACCTTCTGTTTTTGGTACATCAATATTCATATTTTTCAATTCATGTTAATCTGCTCTCCTCCCCTCCCCTCCTTCCATGCATTAGAGGTTTCAAGGAATAAAAACAAGATAATTTACACTTTCCATTGTTCTCCTTGGTTATTTTATCGCTGTTATAATACTCTTTTTTTTTTCATGCTTCAGCCCACACAGCAGCAAACACGATACAGAAAGTCTCCTTGTGCTCCAGCAGATGGTGAAGGTATTGCTAATCATTACAACTCTGCAAAGCCATTTCTGCAAATTAATTATTCTTTCCATATTTTCTCCCTAACATTTAAGAAAATAAAAAGAACAGAAAAGCCATTTACCTTGTTATACTACTTTATGTAGATCGAGGAAGTGCCGCTTCTGAGGATACAGCTGCCACTGAATGAAGGAGCTTTTGGTGTTTTGATCTTGTGAGAACCTCTGACTGTTATTGTGTTACCTACATTGATGGGTAATATTCTGTCCTGACAACAAACTTGGTGAACATGCATTGCACCAACATTACTGCAGTTGAAACTAAGCCGTAACTTCTGGTGTTCCAAGTTTTGATGTGGGACGTTATTTTCTTATTAACAATGATAGAGCAACTTACGAAATTCAAAAACCTAAACAAATTATTCACTTTTTCAGCATCTTCTTTCTGCTCTACATGCAATTCTTGGGTGTCACCGGTTTTGTACAACCATGTCGTTCTCTCTCATCACACATATGGTTGTATACCATAATGACTAAGGCAGATTTCCTCCTTTTCTGCATTTTTTTGTTATGAAGTAATTTCTACACCTCGTTTACCCTCATGCACTCCCTTTTTTCTCGCTTTAGTATCGACTTGAGTCAATCAAAGCAGAATCAACGGACATAAACCAACTGAAGAGTGCAAGAGGACAAAAGGGGAGCGAAAATCACTTCTGCGTCTGTTTCTTTTTTCTTGTTTTCACTAACTAGGCAGTTTCATAGTTGTCAACAAATAGGGATAGGGGCAGCCCCTTAATGTAATCTTGGGAAGTTAGCCGTTTTAGTGTTGCGGATATTGACATGAATGACAGAGGCTATATTGGTTAGGAGTACATTACGAAAACTAATATGGTTATGATTAGCAAGAGTGCTTGCTTGCGCAGTGCTGCGAGTTTTACATATATTCGATAGGCAAGACCATTTTGCATACATGTGAAAATCTACTTACAACCTATTTACATTAAGAACCATGGCATAGAATAATTTGTCCTCTTATAGAAATCATGACATAGTTTGTAATGAATTGGTGATAAGCTCTCTTATGTTGTTAGTTGTTTTTGTATGTATAGTGAAAGTGAGGACTTGAAGCATGACCAAATTAACAATTCTTTTTACAATCATAAATTTCCTTGGTGATCACATTCAGGCTTCATGACATACCATACCCAGAGTGTCCACTTGGACATTGGAGTTGTGTTGGCCGATACTTAGAAGGTGACCAAGTCATAAAGTGACGGTGATGTGGAAAGTGCTATTAATTTAAAACTTAAAGCAACTAATCCTAGAGTGCGCATGTGAGCGGGTTGAACCCTTAATTGCAGTATTAAAGTAAAGAATGATTATACCGGAAGGGGAAACCTCATACATATGAGTGATTGTTAGAAATCCTCGTCACAAAAGCATTGCTACTAAGTCCTTGTGGGGAGAAAAACAAAAGTGTGCCTATAAAAATAAAGTTTTGTAAAACGTTTTCAAAAAGTGTAACTCTTCGCATATATCTGTGTCGTTGTATTGATCTCTACAAGAGATAGATTGCCTTCATAGTTGAGCAACTTGACATGAACCCGAATTGATTGCCTAGGACCTGTGTCTCTTGCCTCATTCTATGCTCAATTACTCTCTCAAAGCTTCATTCTATGACTAGTAACTTAATACCCCTATAATTCATGCAATTTTGCACATCGCTGTTGCCCTATTCTTGTATATATGTACCAAAGTGCTTTTTTGCCACTCATTTGGCAACTTCTACTTTTTCAAAATCTTACTGAAAAAGTTTGTGAGCTATATTATATCTATCTCTTCGAAGACCTTCTATACTTCGGTCGGTATGTCGTCAGACGCACTGCTTTCCTATGCTTCAAGTTTTTCAAAGCTACAACCACTTCCTTTTTCTTGATTCGACAGTAGAAAGAGCAATTTTCATACTCTTCCTAGTTACTCAGCTCACCCAAAGCAAAGGTTATGAAAATAAGTTATCCATCTGTCTTTTATTGCGTTATTCGTAGCTAGAACATTTTCATTCTCGTCCTTGATGTACCTTGGTTCAAGTCTCTTGTCTTCCTTTCCCTTGCTCTAGCCAGTTTATAGATATTAAACTCTTCTTCTTTGGTATCTAATCGCTTACACAATATCTTCAAAAGCTGCTAGCTTTGATTCTCTCATGGTTCTCTTTGTCTCCTTCTTCGCCATTTTATATGTCTCACAATTTTCATCAGTTCTATCATGTATAAGGCTTTACAACATTGATCCGTAGCTTTAACCTTTTCATGTACCTCCTCCTTCCACGACCAAGATTCCTCATTAAAAAGAAATCTATTTGTGTTTTTGATGACCCACTCTTGTAGGGGATAACATGATCTTCTCTAAGAAGGTATTGGCGAAAAAGAGATCTTATGCCATTGCAAAATCCAAAATGGCTTCTCCCTCCTCGTTTCTCTCTCAAAACCATGGGCACCATGGGAACCTCTAACTTTGCTCATAATCTTCCCAAAATTTGTTCTTAGGCTCCTATCCAACCCACTGCACGTACACTAATCAGATTGACAAGTTCTTGTCCTGTCACAATCTTGATTGCTATAATTTATCCTCAATCCTCTTAATATCTACAACATCTTTTGTTAGAGTTATCCACGGTGGTGCCAACATCATTTCTTGGTCTATTTGTCCTGAATACAAAAGCTTAAAACTTGAGTTTTCAAGATCCTTTGCCCTTAAGCTAAAATCATGTATTGTAAATCTTCCATATAGAGTGAAATTGAAACAAAAACACCATCTCTGTGGACGTAGCCAAATTGATGAACCACTTAAATCTTGTGTGTATGCATTCACATTTTGAGATAGTTGTCAAGTAAAGCACTCATACTCAACGATCAAATCTTCATCAGTACACCCAAAACCAGATCAAAATGAAGTAATGATATGAAATACCATTAATAGACAACTAGAAACAACTAGAGTTTTATACCCCAAATGATCAAGGCATCCAACATAGTCTGTCTCGATCACCTCACTAGTCTCGGAAACGCCACCACCAAGAAGCAACAACTGCTACGCTTGGCGAGTCACACTCACCAATGGGAGCTATGGCGAATGACGACGATGTTGGGGTTAAGACTCGTGCAACCGAGCAAGCTATATTCCAACATAATTGCTCTACGAAATTTTAAATGGGGTTATGCATCAATATCACCTAGAGAGAGATAAAGTAAAATGGTAAAGTAATATTTCTCAATTATATTGTTGTGTGTTATCAGTACTTTGTTATTGATAATATAGTATAATTTTGGCTACTAACTATTTTGATTAGTATTGCAGATTCTATATAGAGCATGTAATTATTGATACATGGTATATACATGAGCATTCATGCGAAGTAAGAAAAAGAGTTGTGCTGCGTTATGTGCTCACTTGTGTAAAGTGTTTGAGTTGTGAGGATATTCAAGGATTGAAGTTTTCCTTAAATGAAAAAATTATTACATTCTAACTATTATTTAATTGGTAGTTTTTGTTGTGAATTAATTTGTGCACTATTGTTATTTTGCTGCGTATTTGATAAATTTTATATAAGATTTTGTTATATGATGTATGGTGTAATCATTACAAATTATTTATTTTCCATCATTTCTTGGTTGTAGAATTTATTTCTACAGCTAAGATATGACTCACATCCTAACTCGTGAATGATCCTTATTTACGGATCGAGGTGTGACAAATGGTATCAGAGCTTAGGGATTAAATATCTAGGATAAAATGTTTGTCAATAGACTCTAATTTTACATTCTGTGTAATGATTTCGAAAGTATTACGTTTGATTTTTATAGAGTAAGTTGGGATGGGACTTACGCCTAGATGGGTAGTTTCTTGTGAGCTAGACTTCGCTTTTGCACTGCAAAGATAAGGAAAGGGTGATCCATTTCTTTTGGAATTTGAGTTTTGTTTCACAAAAACTTGAAAGTGTTTTAACGGTGTCTCTTGATTTAAGTATGCTTATTTGTTTGATGATTTTATACATATAATAACTATTGCAATTTATTCCGACTATATAATATTTGTTAGTAAGTTCATATACAATTTTGATGCTGAAACAAATTTGGATGTAATTCATTCATACTCACAAAGGAAAAAAACGAAAATGGTCAATGCGAAGTGAAATTCTCATTCCTACACGAATTGGTAATGTCGATAATAATTCTCATTCCTATACAATTACAGGTTGTGTGATGAGCTAGTTACATCTCATTCCTACATAGTTTTGGACTATGTGATGAGATAAAATTTTAAATGGTGTCTGATGAGAATATAAGAATCTAATTAGTAAGGTGATTGGTGAGTTACATTTCTGATTTACTTAACCATCAATGTTTCTATATTGATTTCATTATTATGTGATTTTCAGCTAAAGACTAATTTTGTTTTCCTATCATGTTCAATTAGAGGTGTTATGCTAGAGTTGGAAGGCCTAAATTGGAGAAGTGCAATCCACTTTATATGGAAGGGTAGTCTCCATGCAACCACTCGAACTAAACACTTCATTAATGTTCTACAACTATTATTATAATATTTGATATATATTTTTCTATGTCTTTTTAGATTTATTTACCTTACTCATACAACGGTTAAGGTCTTACAAATTTCAAGGATGAAATTTATTTTAAAGATTTGCATTGGGGTGGTGTGGGGGGTTGAAGGGGAGGTGGGGGTGGGCTGGGATGGGATGGGATGGGTGTGGGATGGGACGAGGTTGCGGGGAGGGATGGGTTTCAGGCTCTTTTTTTTATTTTTATTTTATTTTTATTTTATTTTATAAATAATAATAACAATAATAATTTTAATATTTTAAATTTTTTATGAAATGTTTAGCCACATGGCAAAAATGTGGCAGCCACATCAGCATAAATGGGGACCACATATTTGCCATGTCATCACTTAACAATTAACTTAACAGATTTTCTAACAAATGTATGAAATTGAAATAAAATAATAAGTAAATATATGAAATTGAAATGTTTTAAAGATGTTGTAAGGAATTGAAATTGACCCCAAACCTGAGGGGGTAAAATGTAATTTACCCTTGAAAAATAAAGGTTATTTATGTGACAGCCAATCCTAGATTATTCGTACCGTAGGTGTGAAATGATGTTTTTGTCCCTAGTGATTATGTTTCGTTGTGTGGTTGTTTTGGGGTTATGGTAGGTTGCATCTGGACCACACACACACACCCACACTTTCATCCTCATCTTCTGCCTTGTCCTGTGTCTCTCTCTCTTTCTCTTCTACGTTTTTCGTACGGACAATAACCAAGGCACTCAAAAACGTTACGGATCAAAGTAGAGAACTATACCTTTGTGTTCATGAGGTTCTTACGAGTTCAACCTGATGTGAGAATTACTTGACA